TCTGTGATGTTTTAAATTACTCCCATCCAAGTACTAACCAGGCCCAACTCTGCTTAGCTTCCTAAATCAGACAAGATTGAGCACATTCAGGGTGGTATGGCCAGATGGGTGTTTTAAATTACTAAAGGCAGGAGTAGAATATGGCAAGATTTATATCCCAGAAAGCCATATCCTTTTATTGTAGATATTTATTAATTATCTAAATGTAGTTGATAAATGTTCATAAAAATACTGAATATTTTTCCTTAGCTTATATGTGTCTTGGTCCATTGTATTCGGGTTTGCAAGATATATAACTTTATTTTTCTTTAAATACATTAATCTTAGACATGTTCACTTTCATAACTACTTTATTAGAAGTATGGGAGGATTAATCTTTGACATTTGTAACTCCTTGTAAAGTTTCTTAGCAGAATATACAGTGATGACATGAGTTAGGGACATTCTATCCTCATTGTCGTCACAGAGGCATCCGAGTTCCCACTCAGGTTATCTGTCACGGGATCATGTGGGTCTCTGCAGCATTCATTCCTGTTTCTGCTTGGAATCCTGTCTCCTCTCTGGACTGTCTCTTTGTTAACCCTTGTGCACATTCTTCTCACTTGTGTCGGCACACACTGGGTGGTGCAGACCCACTATGTCCAAACCTCCTATTGCCAGTTGCCACTTGGCACTTCCCAGAACCCTGCTCAAGGCTGAGATTGCCACTTTTACAGCTGTTGCTCCCTGCATTGCCTGGCACTCTGCTATTCTCAACCTCTCCCTGGGAACCTTCTCTTCTCTACTTGCTGTCTGTGCCACTATTACTAATTGGGTAGTTAGGGAGCATGCAAGCTCTGCTGTTCTACTTTTCTTTGCTATTTTGTTTGTTTGTTTTTAATCCAAGATTCAAAGTTTTTACTTATTTTTTCAAGGTGGTGAACAAAGTGTTTTTCTTACCTGGATTGGGGAAAATTTCATTGTTGAAAAGTATTTTACCTCCAGACATATTTTTATAACATCCATCTTCTAATGGCTTCAAAGCATTCTTAATTAGAAAACTCTTGAATAGAAGGCAGGGAATCCCTTCTTACAATCTCTAGGAGTTCGAGGTTCAGATTTATGGTACTGTTTCTTAGATGTATATTTTGGTATATTTATTACTTCCTTTGGAAAGCAGATGAGGACAGAAAGGATTTTTCTCCTTACCCTTTCTTTTCCTCCTTCCCTTTCATTGTGGGAAATTCCAAAAGTAGACAAAACCATACAGCAGTGGTATAATAAACCTCCGTTTACCTGTGAGCCCATTTCAACAAAGATTAACATGACTAGTCTTGTTCTATCTGTAATTCTGCTCTCCAACCCATTCTCTGCCCTTGACTTATTTTGAAGCTATTTTCAAACAATATATTTTATACGATTTGATGATAGATCAATAAGCATCCTTCTATTCTGGTACCATTACTTAATTCAAAATGCAGAACTCCATCCATCCATTTACTACTTCTTAGGTGCTTATTCTGTGACAAATACCAGACTAAGGTTAGCATATACAGCACACAACAGACATACTTGGAGACATTCACACTGAGTGATAGTCACGTACACAAGGGCATTGTTTCTCATACCTACGCTTTTCAGTGTCATGTTGCTATAGTTTTATACGTCCCTACCCCCGCAAAAAGTCTTTTAAAAGCTGCTGATCCTTCCTTCCCTTTCATCCTCTCACTACCTGGCCTAACCCACCCAGCTACAGTGACCTCCAGGCTTTTACTAAAACATTCCCTTTTTATTTCACCTCAAAGTCTTTGTATTTAATCTTCCCTTAATAAGACTGCCCTCAGAGATCTTCATAACTTACTTTCTCACTCCTTTAAAATCATCTCTGCCTTTGTCTGCTTTCCAAAGCATAGCCTAACTTCTAGGTTTTGGTCCATATGCAACTTTTTGATTACTTAAGAGGTGGGGATTTGAGGGATCTTGTTCTGTTGGTATTAAGAATTTGATATCTGATATTCATTATATAGGTGATGAATAGTTTGTAGACAATTAAGCTTTTTTAAAACATCAGTTGACAACATTATTTCCAAAAGACTGCTTAAATAGTAATTGACAATTATTGTGGTATTCTTTACTTTATAAAAGCACTCACTGTGGTATGATTCTTTCAGTTCTTTTGGGAATATACCCAGTAGGGGAATAGCTGGGTCAAATGGCACTTCTAATCCTAGTTATTTGAGGTATCTACATGTTGATTTCCACAGTGGTTGCACCAGTCTGCACTCCCACCAACAATGGAGAAGGGTTCCTTTCTCCCCACAATCACACCAACATTTGTTATTGGTTTATTTCTTGATAGCAGCCATTCTTTTTGGGGTGAGGTGGAATCTCAGTGTTGTTTCATCTGTAGCTCTCGAATGACCAGTGATGTTGAACATTTTTTCATATGTTTGTTTGCTTCTTTTACTTCTTTGTTTGAGAAATGTCTGTTCATTTCAGATGCCCATTTTTGAATTGGCTTTATAAATTTGGGGCGTCTGATTTTTTTTTAGTTCTTTATATATTCTGGATAGCAGACCTTTGTCTGAGGAACAGCTGGTAAAATTTTTTCCCACATTGTAGGTTGTCTCTTGCTCTGTTCATGGTTTCTCTTGCAGTGCAGAAGCTTTTTAAAAAGATGAGACCCCAGGTATTGATCTTTGTACTAGCTCCTGTGCTACTGAAGATTTGTTCATAAAGTCTTTTCCTGTGCCAGTGTCTTCAAGAGTCCTACCTAATTTATTTTCCAACAAGTTTAATGTTTCTGTTTTAATATTTAGATCTTTAATCCACTTGCATTTTATTTTAGTGCATGGTGAAAGATAGGGGTCTAGTTTTAATCTTTGGAAAGTTGAAATCCAGTTTTTCCAGAACCATTTATTAAAGAGTCTGTCTTTCCTCTGGTAAGAATGGTTGGCTCCATTGTCAAAGATGAGGTAGCTGAGTATCACAGTGTATGTGCTCACCCATATTTATAGTGGCACAATTTGTAATAGCTAAAACTTGGAAAGAGCCTAATTGCCCATCAACTGGATACTGAATAAAGAAGGTGTGTTTTTTTGTTTTTAATATATAAAATGGAGTACTACTCAGTACTCAGAATGGAGTACTACTCAGTACTTCAGAATGAGAAACTAGAGACATTTATAGCTAAGTGGATGCACATTGAAGCCATACTCTTAAGTGAAATTAATAGGACACACATGTGTAAATGCCAAAGTTTCTCTTGTGTGAAAAACAAAGTGTAAAGAAGAATCAAAATGTAAAGTTCATATTGTGTAATAGGAAAAAAACGTGTAAAGGTGTAGGGGAAGTGGGAGGGGTAGGGGAAAGCTAAGAAGGGAAAAGAAAAAATAAGAAAGGGAAAAAAATGGAAACAAAGTCTCTGCAAATAGGGAAGGGTGAAGGGAGGGCAGGGGAATGGAGAAAAAAGAAGAACCAAGATGTATCATGTAAAGGTACAAGATCCCAATTATGATTGTAACTGTACTGTATACCTAAAATGTACTAATAAAGAATAATTTTTTAAAAAGCACTCACCCTCACAAGAATTTAGGTGTATGCCTTTGTGTTCACTTGTGTTTTTTGCCAATATGAGCATGTTCCTTACCTTCAGAACTGTGATTTTAAGGAACTTGCTGGTAACAGTTTTAATCACTGCAAATCTTACACTCTGACACTACACTGTGTAAATACATTTCTGTCAAGTAATTGCCTGTGTTAGGTCTCATTTCTCTTCCTGTAGCATGTTAAGGTAATCTTCTTGTGAGTATGTGTCTTTTAAAATTTAAATTTTTGTGTACTTCATTTGTATCTGTTCATTAAGATGTAGTCCTTCTAAATACTTTGTTCTGGCAGGGTGCATGAAGATTGCCGTTCTCCTGTACTGTTCATGGAAGTCTGTAGTAAGCTCTTTCTGGAAATCTGTATTATTGTTTTTTTCAATGTTTACATCCTCTTTAATTTTAGGAACCTAGTGTAAGAAATTGTGACTGTAGACATATATACAAATCTCACCACTGTAGAAATACTATTTTCTTTTTCCCATTCTTTCCTGTTTCACTCATTTCTTTTGGTTTCCTATTCCCCTTTACCTGCCGTTTTTCCTTTTCACGATTCCTCAATTACTGTATTGCTTGATTTCTTGTGAATAGGAAAATGGGAAATAGGAGTATATAGGGAATCTATGTACCTTCAGTTCTCTTCTGTTGTGAATCTAAGACTACTCTAAAAAAGAAAATATTTCTTAGAGGTAGGTAGGTAAGTAGATAATAGATAGATAGCATATACCTTCCCACGAGGATGCTACGATTTTGATGACATAATATTTGACTAATCATTTTATTACTTTCACTAAGTAGGACGTTTGGATCATACCACTTACGAATGAGGGACACTACTGAAATAGCCAAAAAAGTAGCATATTTATTTGAACAAATGAAAATTTTTTAGCTACTGAAAATGTTTTTCAATTAAATATCATTTTATGCCTATCATTCATATGAAAACTAATGAATGGTCTTTTAGTCCTCTCAGAGAATAGATTTTGCCAACTGCTTCTTCATGTACTTTTGGTATTAACATGCAATTGTTTATTTCTTTTACAGTGGTAAGATGCCTTTACTAAATTCCTCTAGGGTTTGTTTGTCTGTTTTTGAAATAGAGTCTTGCTACTTTGTCCGGAATATTCTCGAGCTCCTAGACTCAAGTGATGCTGGTTCCATAGCTTCCAAAGTAGCTGCGACTATAGGAATGCATCCCCACACCTGACTAGTCTTGCAGATAGTGTTTAAAGTTTGCTGTTGGCATCTTTCTTATGCACATAAGGACTTTAGTCATATTTGTTCATTAATTGTGTGAATTGCCTCTGTTCTCTAGTGTCATATTTTATCTTATGGATTACCACAGTATTTGAAGTGTTCACATGCATTTGTCTACTGCATGAATTAAAGTGGTTTAAATCCATTTTATTTCCCCTATAGTGGTACCCCCTGGAAGTCCTGGACCTATTACTCGACATGGGTCCTATGACAGCTTAGGCTCTGACCATAGTGGACAGGAAGATGAAGAATGGCTTTCACAGGTAATATTGTAATGTATTTGAAGTATTAATATAAAAGAAAACAGAATCCCAGTGTCTGTTTTTCTTTTTTTAGAGGAAAATGGGGGAGAGCTGATAACTTTTTGTTGAATCCTCAAGATTAATCAATTATCTTTCTATATTAAGACTTTCTCAGAAATATTGTTGCAAGTGTACACATGTATTTTTACACATACTATATTATCTAAATATATTTTATATATATATATTATTAGCTTTAATATAGCTGGCATAAAATGTGCATCTCTTTGAAACAACCCATTTAAAGTCTTTAAGACATTAGATTTTAGACAGCAGACTCTTTTTAGAATACATTGTCATCAGTTTTAAAGTAAGATTTTTTTTTCTTGTTAAAATGTTGGAGTCATTCAGCAATATTGGGATTTGTTTTTTGGAATTAACATTTTCTGAGGATGGGCTCATACTTTCATTATAGATGTTCAGCATTGCACTGAGCATAAATGCTGATAGTGTAGGACTGAGTTTCCTTTCCTAACTGAAGTGTACAGAATGTTCTTTCTGGTGATCTCTAAACCAGTCCTGTAACAGCTTTAACTGAATGGTCCTCACCTTGTCAGGTGAAGCTGTCTTCATCTGAAGAGCTTTGAAATAAAAGATACTTGAGCACATTTCAAAATGGTGAGATTAAAAATGACTTCATTACAAATACTGTTATGTCTGCTTCAAATCTGACATCATTTGGTGAAGTTAATGACCTATCTCAGGTTACCAATCTGGCAGCTTTTCTGCAGACAGGTGCCTCGGAAAAAGTGGAGACCCTTTGTAGTTTCATTGCCTTCTTAGGGAGGCTAGCCTGAAAAACTGAAGTGGATCTGGAAATTGGAGAATTAAAACCATTTCTAAGTAGCATGTTTTTATTTTATCACACCACAAATATTCATGGGAAGCTCCTTGAAGGAAGCCTCACATCCTGTCAGATGGAGGCTCATCCTTTTTTGTGGATTTTCCTAAATTAAAATTTTACCCAAGATTTTCCTGGCAAAGAATCTACTGTCCGTCACTTCAGCTTTTCAGTTAAAAGAAAAGGTAATGTGTGTTGTCAGTGTGAAAGTATATACAAAATGTTTGTCCTGCACACAACAGGAGAGTGAATATAGGAACATCTGGCCATTGCCTCAGTGAAATTGCACAGGCATCTGTTTACCTCTCGGCTCTGTGACACTGATTTTTTTGAGCTTAAAATACACAGAACGTTTTATCTGTGGCCTAATTTACATTGCTGAATACAGCTACTTGAATCAGAAATCACTGTCCTCAATCTGAGTATTTTTCTCCCATTGACTAGTGGGAATGTGAATATTGTTCCAAGACCATGATGCTTTTGCCCTTGAGGACTCAAACACAGAGCTATGCTCTGTGAACTGTTTCAGTTATGTTTTGTTAAGAATTAATCGCTGCCATCAGAAAAGTGTGATTAAATATAAAAGAATCAGAGCAAAGACTCGAGGCACATGGAAAGGCAGTTCCATAAAGTGCACAGATACAGGTATAACAAAGACAGGACTTTAAGAAATATGGTAGTTTTCCACCAAAGGCTTATATATTCCTCTGTTCAAATCATGTATTTGTAAAATCATGTAAAATGTGTCCATTTTCAGATTTTACCCTATATTCCTCTACTATCTCCATATGGAGATAGTAGAGGAATATAGGGTAAAAAAAATATATATATATATATTAGTGTTTAATATATTGGGAACTTTCCCAACTCCTTTCATAACACATAAAATTTATAAAGCAGTTTTGTATTGCCGCTTTACTAGACATAAAATTATGTGTCAAAGTTTGTACCCATTGTGAAAATATTCTGACAGTATTTTAAGAATGAAAAAATCTAGTTTGGTGCAAAATAATAGTTTCTTCATTTAAAAGTAGATTTTTGGAAATAGTGAATACAATGTAATTATTGTAATAATGAATTGTAGAAATTGGCTTTGGGTGTTAAAAATTATTTCAGACCTTTTCTTTCTTTGGATAGTTCAAGAATAAATTGAGGTTTTTTATGAGCTTGATCCTCATTGAAAGAATTATTTTAAATCTGTGTGAATTCATAGATACAGTGATAAATGCATGCTCACAGTATAGTAAGTACTGTCTTGAATAAATGAAAGAGATAGTACCTAGGGAGCAGATGCTAGTTGTAGGAGACAGGCAGCCAGTCCCTTTACTTCATGTGACTTTGGTGTTGTATATTAATGTACATGTATATGTATGTATATTTACATAAGAGAGATGCAGTGATTATCTGTAGTTTGTGATTATGAACACCTTTTGATTGTGGGTACTTTGACTCACATTTCATTAATGTATACTTCTTGGAGAACATGCATGCTAAATGATGGGATGGGGGATTATGAAAGGTTAAGAAAGTCATAATACATTTAAATCTTGATTCTGACTTTTTCCAAGGTTGAAATTGTAACACATACTGGACCCCACAGACGTCTGTGGATGGGTCCACAGTTTCAGTTCAAAATCATCCACCCTTCCGGCCAAACCACAGTCATATCATCCAGTTCATCTGTGTTGCAGTCTCATGGTCCCAGTGACACTCCACAGCCTCTTTTGGATTTTGATACAGATGATCTTGATCTCAACAGTCTCAGGTAGGAAATATGAATTGGAGAATTGTTTATGATTAATATATTCATTTGGAGTGTCTGTGTATGAATATAAACCAGCCATCCGACCTTCTTTCATGTCTTTAAAATAATAGTCAAATACATATTCCAATCACATTTTGGAAATAGGTTTTTAGGTATGCCTTTGACAACAACAATAAGAAAATTACATAATAAAACCAATGTTGTTGAAAGGGCTGTTTTGTTTGTTCATTTTTATTTGTTGAACACCTGCCAGGTACTCGACTAGGTGCTGGAAGCTATACCTTGAATATGGCCAGCTGCTTATTTTATTTTTCTTCTCGATGATGTCCAGACCATCCAGTACTGAACATGTCTGAATTGCAACTCTTTTCTCACACTGTAATGCTATTGTTCCTCTATCCTTTCTCATCACTTTAATTGATTCCTCAAACCACCTGGCCTTCAAGCTGGAATCTAAGGGTTATTCTTGACATCTTCTTTACCTCCCACACCTAATTCTTCAAGTGAGGATAATTCAGTTCCAAAATATATTCAAAACCTGACCTAGTCCCATTGTTGGCACCCTAGAAACTATATATCTTGCAGTATGCTCCTAACTATCCCCCTTTTACATCTCTCCCCACCAGTGTCTTCTTAAATAATTGTTCCTAAAGAGGATCTTGTCTTAAGTTCTTAGTTAGTGTCCATTTTGGAGTATAGTTTTAGTTTGTTTTGAGTTTTTCTTATTCCCCATATTTTTGCTTTTTTTGTTCCAACATAATATTTTCGACTTTCTAGAAATGTCACCTTTTCCCCAAGAGATCGGACAACAGTGCCATTGTACTGTGGGCGTTAGACCACTTTCAGTGTTGCTGTTTATAAGGTATGGTCTAGGTTAGGTAGTCAAGCCATTCACAGGGAGTCCCATCCAGACAGCCCTTTTTTAACTTGGTAATGCGATGTATAGTCATCATGTTTCAATAGTCATTTAGTCACTTACATGTTAATAATAAAGCTTTGAAAGTAGGTGATTCATTTATTGTCTTTACATCTATGTAACCTAGTTATTCTCTTCCCCTGTAAATGCATGAAACCCTGCCCCTTTTTTTCCTGGTGACTGCCATCAGACCTTATCTTTTTTCTTTGGAAGGTATTTCCAGCTCTTGCAGATATTACTCTGTCCCTTTGTTTTGTGGCCTCCTCCAGCTTTCTCGGCTACTCTTCACGTAGATATAGTCTGTTTTCTAAAATCTTTTCATTGTGCTTCTTTAGTGTAACCATATTTCCAACATTCTTCAGAGCTTTCCTCAGTCATTTCCCTTTTCTTGTATGAAAGAGTTCCCAGTATTTTTTCATTTATATGACTTTAAGTTATTTATGTTTGATTAAAATATTGTTCTATTTATTGGATATTACAAACAGCTACATTGACAGTATGTTTATAAATTAATTTTGATTTTTTAATGATTTATATTGTTAGAATATTGATTAGGTTTGTAATCCCATAATAGCACAGTTATGAGAAATTTGCCTGTGATTCATATCAATTTTCATTGCCCCATTTAGTACCATTTTCCAGTCAACATCCAATCAGAAATACAGTTATTTTAGGGCCGGGGATTTAGCTCAGTTCCACTGCGCTGCCTCACAAGCACAAGGTCCCCAGAACAAGGGGGAAAAAAAAAGAAATATAGTTATTTAAATTCTGCACATTGTTTTCTGTTGCTCAGTTCCAGTTTCTCTTCTGTAGGACATGTACATTCCTTCAGGTCTGTGCACAGTGGTGCTATGGCAGGGCATTGACCTTATTCTCCTTTAAATTGTCAGATACTTGTTTCAATTTTTGTCTGAAATGATCCATAGTTAATGCCCTGTGCCCCATAAAGTATCACTGAAAATATGTAAGGCATGGTAATATACCTACCTATAGCCTATCCTAAGTGCGAAAGCTACATATTTTGTTCCCTGGCATCTGTATAGGAATTGAGTATTAACCTCATGGCAGCTCTTCCTTATAATGTAAAAAAAGCTCAGTGAGGTTGCATGTGGTGGTACACACCTGTAATCTCAGCACTCAGGAGGCTGAGGCAGGGAGGATCACCACAAGTTCAAGGCCAGCCTGGGCTATATAGTGAGTTCAAGGCCAGCGTGAACTAGGTAGTGAGACCCTGTTTCAAAAATGAACAAACAAACCAAAAAAACTTAATGAAATACAATATATATAATTCACTGAATACAAAAATGTGTAATTCAATAAAAACATGTAATGTAAAAGAAACTGAATATACACTCCTTTCTTTCCATTCTTCAGAAATTGATAACAATGCATTTTGTTGTATTTTAACTAACTATAATTCACATAACATAAAACTCACCAATTTTAAAGTGTACCATACAGGATTTGGGTGTAAGCCTCAGTAGTTGAGGCTCTTGGCTTGATCCCCCAGCAACAAAAACGGGGGTGGATGATAATATATCTCTACTATCTAATCCCAGAATGTTTCCATCATTCCACCGGTTTATATTTTAATTATCAAATTTTATTTAAATTTTTTTTATCAGTACATGTTTGCAGTATATGATGATTACGTTCATGTGGGGAGTTGGTACATGTACATAACACATCTTAACTCCCTGTTTCTCCTGTCCCTTCCATTCCTCTCCTAACATTAAAAAAAATAATGAAAAAATATATATTTGTTGCCAGTCCATCTTCAACACATTAATTCTTGGCCAATCTTTATTCTTATTCAAACTCTGAATATTCTGAAACACTAGTATAAATTAACAGTAGGAACTATATTAGCCTACATAAGCAGCTTAAATCAGAAGGGAGTTTTACTTTTGATGAACATGGTTGTTGTTTTTTTTTTGTACCTGGGATCGAACCTGAGACCTTGTGCTTGCAAAGCAGTCAGTAGGAAACATTGAGCTAAATCCCTAGCCCAGATGATGTTTAACAGGATAGCTTTTTGTTGTTCTGAACAAAAAAACTTGTTTTCTAGAAGCCAAAGCTATCCTTTTGTTACTATCGCATTTGCTTAGGCTTGCCCATCCCAGAGCTAATTATTGCCACAACGTGACAGGATCAGCATAACTGCTTTGGGAAAACAAACTGAAGTGGAATTTTGGATAATGCTCTATAGCTATGGCTAGTATTTGTGTATCAGTATTTTTGACATCTTATACTAGGGAAGGGCATCATCCTATTCATTGCTTCCATTTCTTTCCCACAACAAACATACATTCAAAAATCTTTGTCTGTTGTTGGTACTTGGCATTTTTTACTTCTAGACTCTCTTTCATGTCACTTATCAAATTCTTTCCCCCCACCAGGAATGTGTATGTAGTCTGTGCCAGCCAGATCATGCCTTTTAATCTCCCTGCATTTGTCGTGCTAGTCCGGCCCCTAAGGCTCTGCTTGTACTGACCTTCTGCCTCAAGGACACTTCTTGCTCTTCTTCATCTGTACATCTGTTAGTTGTTCTGCTTACAGGGGATTGCTCTAGTCTTTTTATTGTGGAATAGTATTTGCATGTAACCTTGGAATATCTTCTGAATCATCTCTAGATTAGGTGCAATGTCTAATGCGATGTAAATACTATATAAAGTGGATGGTTACAGAATAATGACAAGAAAAATGCCTGTACATGTTCGAAAGAGATACTGTTTATTTTTTTAATATTTTTGCTCCAATTTTGGTTCCATCCACAGAATCTGAAACTACAGATATGAAGGTCTAATTCTACTCTATGCAGACTCAATTCCTGTTCCAGGTCCACAAAATCTTCTCTACCTGATATGGACCTTACATAAACGATCATGTGATGCTTAACAAGAAGTCGGTCATCTGACAAATTTGTCATTGTGTGAGCATCATGTTGTATACTCACACAAACTAGGATGGCTACATTACCAGGCAATATAATCTTATCTGCCCACTAGTCTGTTGTTCACCCATAAATAATTGTGTACTGTATGACTATGTCCTCCCCTTCATTCTGAGGTCTTCGGTATTATGGTGTTATTTTTTAATTCTGAACTTTGGTTTTCATGAGCAACAATTCATGAATTCCCACGTGCTATGTCATATATTTGCATATGGACCTTATATTTCATGTTTTGTTCCTGCTTGTTCCCAAAATAATGTTATGTACAGTGAATATTCAGTAACACTTATTGTATGAGTTACTCAAAGTACATGTGCAATGTATTTCTAATAAGATTTTGTTTCTGTAAATTGCCTTGGATGCCAAGACATTGTAATCACACACATATTTTTATGTTAGTAGTACAGTATTTATTCTAAGGCAGCTGGAAAGATGCTTGGCATTTGTATGTTAATCATTCTGACGCTACTTGAAATTATGTATATGTGGTAAATTGCAGTTTTGTTGAAGTCTGCCCTGAATCTCATGCTAACTGGTAGTTTTATTGGGTTACTCAGGTATTAGTGATCCTCAGTAAATCCTTGCACCCACAATACAACTTGCTTGTCTTATACTTATTGCCATATATAAAATAACTTGCACTGATTCTTATGAAGAAATTTATTAAAATTTTGAATCAGACATTGCTGCCTTTATCAACTTAATTACTAGCTATAATGCCATTTATTAATTTGAAGTCTCAGAACTCTTCATATATATTCCTTGCAAATTCCAATGATATTCATTATGATTTCCTCTCCCAGTCCACTTATTTTTTCTCTTTAAATTGTCAGCTTTTCAATCCTTTACTTAAAAATATATTGAAAAGCATTAAGAAATAAGTTAGAAGGAGTCTGAAGTAAAGATAATGTAGTGCTTTAACTGTGTGCAAGAATTAGGGATTGCTGTTCCCTTTTTGTCTGGTTTTAGAATGAATGGTTTTTTAATGGATTGGGTATTCCAACATGCCTGATTTAAGGTCTGTGGTAGCAAGCCATAGTTTTCATGCCAGTAACATATGTGAATTAAATTAAATTGCATTGCAGGATCCAGCCAGTCCGCTCTGACCCAGTCAGCATGCCAGGGTCATCCCGCCCAGTCTCTGATCGAAGGGGAGTTTCCACAGTGATTGATGCTGCCTCAGGTAGAAAACCTCCTACCAAATATTTGTTATGCATTTTAAAGTTTATTTTCTTGCACATCATCTAGGGTGAGTCTCATTTGCCTTCCTTTCTCTGTTGTTGTTTTGTTTGGGGCTGCATTTTAATGCCGTACTGTGCCTGTATTTGTTAACATTTAAACCTTCTGGAGGCTGGTAAATGATGCAGTGGAGTTGGCACTTGATTAAATGTAACGAACATAGTATTGAAGGCTACAGGGTTGATGACTGTTTTTCCTTTGATCACTGAAATGTAGAGAAGCAACTTTGACAGAGAACGTAAATACAATATATGGATTCAATTTACTCAACCTGTTGAGTATCAAAGTGCCTGATCTGTGGATGCAGAGAAGGTCCAAATGCTTTAGCTTGAATGGTTTGATTATTGAAAGCATGAAGTTTAGAAATTCATCAGCTTAACTCTGGTCTATCACAGTTATTAATTTTCTGTCCTTAGAATCAAACTATGAATATGTATCATTGGTATCTGGAAGGAGACCCGTGCCTTTGTACGTGATAGTTGCTACTTTAACAAGTGTTTTCAGCAAAGCCTGCTAAGTAGAGCTGCTGTTAATAATACATTTTCTTATCTTTAAGATGAGTGCTAGAGAAAATACGGACAATGATGCCTTGAATTATGTACAGCTGCAGAACACCTGACAGAGCATGCAGCAGGATTTTGTCCAAAAGGTCTCTCACAAGTAGAATTGTTAAATACACAGCGTTATTTAAACAGTTGAGTCAGAGAGGATTCTAATCTACAGTGATTTCAAAATCCCTAGAGACTTCTGATTTGATTGAGGCTTAAACTGTGAAAGTAAATGGAAACCGTCACAGAACTGATTTGTTAAGGCCTCTTTTCAATGACCAAACCTTTGGCTTCCACTGTGTATCTCAGTATATATTTAAGTCGCAGAACTATAGCTTGTACATTTTATTAGCTTTCTGATCTGTTGGTCAGTGGATTGTGCCTTGTGTCTTGCTGAACTGCCCTTCCCCAGGGCTACACCATAATTTTTATTGTAGACAACTTCTTTGAGGATTCATTCTCACTTCTCTGCTTTAACTTGGCAAACATGATTGTTCACTAGAAAGAAACCCAGACATGTGTAATCTGTAACCTTGCTTCCCTGCATTGAATGGGTATTGAGATAGGTGATTTAAATAGGCAATTTTTTATAGTCTTAATCTGTGAGTGCTAACAAAGTGTGCTGGTCTGAAGTTATCATTTACGTTCCTGGCGATGTTGCATATTAAACCTGAAGTCTTTTATTCAAGATTCCAAGAGTAGGCCTTGATGGACTTTTAAAACATTCCTAAACTACCATATTATTAATGTTTTATTGTCAAGTGACCAGTTACCTGGAATGCATGTTGCCAAAACAGTTGCCACAGTGGTTTTAGAAGTTGCCATGTTCAGTACTGTTGTTTGAAACAGTATTCCATATTATCATGTAACATTTTGTTTGTTTGTTTGTTTTTGGTACTGGGATCAGGACCTTGCCCTTGCTTGCCAGCAGGCAGCAGCACCACTAAGCTAATCCCCAGCCCTATCATGTAACATTTTAATTCTATAGAGTTGTTCAGGAGAAACTTCAATGAAGTGTTGTGTCCATAGTTTTCTTTAACTCTGCTGCAAAAAGAATTTTAAAGTTGATTTTTGAGTAGCAAATTAGATCTTTGCCCTTGGTCTATTTATATTTATATTAGAGATAACATCCTTGGAGTTTCTAGGATATTGCTCCGAGGTTTTGAGCCTCTGCCTCAAAGTGCCAATCTTTTGAACAGAGAAAGGAATTTTTGGAGGCTAAGCTCTATTATTATTTCTTCTAGGCCTATTTTCCCTCCTGAAAGCCATGGTTCCTTTCTGAGAGACAGCCAGAAAAGTGAAATGTGTGTGCAGCTTTCCTTAGCTTTGAGCTAAAGACACCCCATAGATGAGTAATTGGACTTTTCTGAATAATTCTCTCTTCAAGTCCAAGCTTTGAACCCCTTTTGAATGAGGAGTATATGTTGTCCAGCAGTTTTTGAATGAATACTGTTTTGTTTTGGAACCTCCATATATGTTTTCTAACAGGATGACTTGTTTATAGAAGTGTGTCCCTGCTGATATTTAACATTTGAGCCAAAATGATTTGGCTTCTTAATGGAAATAAATTTATGGGAATATTCTATTTTAGATTCTTGTATTTAAAAGTCTAATCAATTTTACAATTGCTCTTGAACCAGAAAGTATTTCTTGCCTTATACATTGGAGTCTCCTGTATACTAGAAAGCTTAAATTAGACTCTGCCTTTACTTAGAGATAATCACCCCCATGGTGTCTCTGTTTTGGGGCCTCATTATTTTGTATAACTCCAGCATTTTGTATAACTTTCTGCACTGTGTTTTTAATTGTTCAGTGACATACCTTATAACTATCCTTATATTTTAAGGACAGTTCTTCCTTTGGATCACCTGTTTTTGACATAATCATTTTTCATTTGATTACAGAAGTACATAGGTAAAATTTAATGTGATGTACTCATAACATTTCTTACAGTGAAAATACTTTATTTAAACCTTGTAACTAAAGTTTATATTTCAGGTATCTGTGTGTTAATTTGTCAGTATTGGTCTGTTGAAACCAAGAAATTACCTACACATTATACCATTTTGACAAAAACAAAATGTTTTCAGAATTTCTTGATCACATAGTAATCTTTGTCTCGCTCTTTCACATGGAAACATATTCTCTAAAATATGTACTTTTTATTTACTAACTTCAGTGATTTAAGCACAGGGTAAGTTCTATGTATTTAGGTAATATGGTCTATCTCCTTACTATCTCTTTTTAAATACATTCATCTTAGTTTCTCGGAATTTATACATGCTTGAAGAGAGCAGATGTTATTCATTATTCCTACAACTATAACATCTGGATTTTTTGTTTTTGTGTTTTGTTTTTAAAGATAGGTTCTCACTATATAGTTCAGGCTGGCCTTGAACTTACTGTATACTCCTAGGTTGTCCTTGAACTTGTGGCAATCCTCCTGCCTCAGCCTCCAGAGTGCTTGGATTATAGGTGTGCGCCATCACATTTAGTTATTACAACATCTGTTTCATCTTAACTTTGGCTGTTCAAAAATGCTGTGTTATCTAAAATTTAGGGGTTAGATTATTGTGAGATATTCTACTCTTGGCTAAGGAGACGATCATTATGAAAATGGATACAACATAGGATTTTATCTGAAGGTAGAGCTACTCAGAATAAATGGATCTTGAGGCAGCTGCTCAATTTGTTTTATATCTAACTAATTAAAACCACTGTCTCTGAATCATAATATTTTTAGACAGACTATTGGGTTGGTTTCTTAGCACTCCCCCCCCACACCAAACATTCTTTTTGTTATTTATCTTTCTTCTCGTTACACCTTATAGCATATATCCATTTTTTTTTTTTTGGTACCAGGGATTGAACCCGGGTCCTTGTGCTTGCAAGGCAGGCCACCGAATGGCTGAGCTAAATTCCCGGCCCCTATATATCCATATTTTAAAAGATATAGGAATTCTAAAGCAAGGGGAGAACAAATCCAGATATAGTGGTACACACCTATAATTTCAGCACTGTGAGAAGCTGAGGCAGGAGCTTCACAAGTTTTATCACAACCTGGGCACTTAAGTGACTTGTGAGCCTTCACCTCAAAATTTAAAAAAAAATTTTTTTTTTTAAACAAAGGAGTAGAGAGAGAGATACAGTTCAATGCGCAAGTCCTGGATTTAGTTCTCAATGTGGCCTGTGGTGGGCGCTAGAGGGGCAGAAAAATAGCTGCAGGTATCTTATTTGACCTTTGTTTCCCAGATTGGTGACTGATGTTTTTGTTCTAAGAGGTGTGGAGTGTACCTTTTAGATGACTTAATAGCACTCTGACTTGCTGTTGGGTCATCACATCAGAGTCTATAAATATCTAGCTCACCCCGAGTTTGTTCTGGTTTGTACTTTTACTGTGGAGATTGAAGTTTATCAACAGAGAACTAAAAGCAACTGAGAGTAAAGGACACATTGAGTTTTCTCCATTAAATTTTTATTTTTATTAGCACATACTTGCAGTAAATAGTGTTTGCACTCACCATGTTGGTACAGGTACACAACACCTTTCCTCTCTTCTTCCCTCCATCTTGATCCTCTTCCTTTTGCAAAGGATCTCCCTCTTTTAGAGGACAAATTTATTACTGATTTACATGAAGAAGAGACATCTTTATGCACTCTGTTGAAGTAAAAGTTTTGTAAATAAGCATTATAAGAAGTAGTGAGAGATGGGGATTTAGCTCAGTGGTGCTGCTGCCTGCCTCACAAGTGCAAGGACCTGAGTTTGATCCCTGGTACTAAAAAACAAAACAAAACAAAACAAAAAAAACAAAAACGAAACAGTGAGATCAGAGTTTATGTACATTTAGGAGAAAAATGATAGAAGGGAAGATTGTTGTGAATTCCTCTTCAGAGCTGATCTTGGTGTAAAAGCATTTCAATAAATAGGGACAAAGTTGCAGACCTGGTTATTTGTTGTTGTTCTTCACACAACAAATAATATTTTGTTGTGTTATTGAAATAATTTATCGGAAATTAATACCCAATTAAGTGGATAGTTTTTGAGCCCCTAGTTTTTTTGTAAATTGTAAATAAGCATTATAAGAAGTAGTGAGAGATGGGGATTTAGCTCAGTGGTGCTGCTGCCTGCCTCACAAGTGCAAGGACCTGAGTTTGATCCCTGGTACTAAAAAACAAAACAAAACAAAACAAAAAAAACAAAAACGAAACAGTGAGATCAGAGTTTATGTACATTTAGGAGAAAAATGATAGAAGGGAAGATTGTTGTGAATTCCTCTTCAGAGCTGATCTTGGTGTAAAAGCATTTCAATAAATAGGGACAAAGTTGCAGACCTGGTTATTTGTTGTTGTTCTTCACACAACAAATAATATTTTGTTGTGTTATTGAAATAATTTA